GCTTTTGTTGCAGCGATTTGGCTTAAGAAATGAGGCTGATAGAGGTATGTTTTTAAAACCCAGATCTTTTTAAGATACAGACACTCCCCTAGCCTCACATCTGAAATGTAATACCTACAACATCAGTGAAATCTTTTTCAGGGTTACAGCTACCAAAAAACCTTGAAAATCCAGTCACTTCATTTGTATGTGAACAGGGATTCATGTGTTTTTCTTTAGGTACCTGGACTCTTGTCAGTTTTGACCTCAACTTCTGCCTGTTAAGTGGTGGCACAGTGGCGTAAAAGCAGCACTGGCCACTTGATAGTCAAGATGTTGAAGAGTAGTTTAAATTTTACCTCCTTTAAGTCATTATTTTTTCTTCTGAGACAATCTTTACCACTTTGCTAGTGGTAGTGACCTTTTGTAGTCCCTATGAGAAGAAAGCTTGCGGTTATAAAATAATGCCACTGAAATTTGTTAGCACTTTTCTGTGTGCCCTTTATAAGGTGAAAAGTGATTTTTCACAGTGATTAAATGCAGGGACTTTCATAAAGTGAAGTTCTCACATGAAATTGCTTATGATAACTTTCTTGTATCTTGTAGGGCAAAACTCATTGCTCCATTATATAATAATGAAGATTTGGCATGTATTTTTGTGCAGAAATACTCGTGTGGAACAAAGTTACACAACTGATGAAGACTGTACTTACACAGGATGCGTATGCCTTTTTTATTATTTGCTCTCTTTAAAATACTTCACCAGGTTAGGATTTTGCAGTGTTTTCAAGCTGCAAGTTATTTCGGCGTAGAGTGAGGTGATTTAGTAATCGTAGCTTGGTTCAGTAGTCAGTGATTCAGTTTGTTAGGACACCCTCCACAGAAAATGCCTGGCGTTGTCTGAGCAGTTCAAAGATGGCGTAGTACAATTTATGGTCTTAGCCTTAATTGCACACTCATTCTACTTGTCTGGTTGCCCAATACGAAACAGGTTGGGGGTGTGAGAAATTGGAGGTGTCTTATCCTGTAGATGCTTAGTTGAGTAACTCTCTCTCATGGATGTTAGTGCCCACACTTCAGTCTTTTAATAGCAAGGTGGTGGGACCCAGAACAAAACCCTGCGGTAGTTCATATGAAATAAAAATTTCATTTTAATAACATTCCTTAAAGAAAAAAAGGGAAAAAACAGGGTTTCCAAAATCTAACACCATAGTAAAATAAGAAGACATAGCTAAAAAAACCCCCAGAGCATTACAGAAAGTACACAGCGCTTTTCTTCTCTCTGTGGAATGAAATCAGTGGAACATAATGCTCATGAGAAGAGACAAGTAATAAAGGCAGCTAATGTACATTGGGTGGCAATTTGTTCTACCGGATTTAAAGTGTTACAGCAAAACTAATGAACTAGCAAGTCTTCGATAGCCCATGTTAATTCAAGAAGTGAGGGTAACTAGCTAAGTAATGTTAATCAACAAGTCCTTTTAAAATCTGTAGTTGTTTTTGTGTGTGTGCTGTCTGGATATTTTTCTTATAAGAAAGGGAGCTCATATCAGTACTAGGTTTGTACTGCTTAAAAACTTTTCAAGAAAAAGATTTGTCATCTTGTGAGTGTTTAATCCGCTATAGTTGTCTGTTTGGAAACTATTTAGGCTACTTTTGGCTGACTTTGACCAGCCTATGCATGTTTGAAGAAACATTGGCTGAACAATTAACATTATATGGGGCCATTTTGCGAGGTTGACAATAGATTTTTGCCTCCCCTGCTCCTTATTCCCAAGTCAGATGGTTGAGAGTGTTGGCTGCTACATAACATCGTGGTCAGTGGGGTGACACGTGTTCGGAGACTGTGGCTTTGAGCAGCGTGTGTGGTGGTAGGAAACGGTGCTGGCGTCTGTATGAATGTGCTTAGGTGTGAGAGAAGCAGAGCACTGGTAGTCCAGGCTTGAAGGTTCAGCATCAGAATACTGCTACTTAATCTCACTGTAGCTGTGTTTGCTATCTTAAAAAAAAAAAAATATATATATATATATTGCTAATTATTTGTTTTGTTTTGTTTAAGCAAGCCTGGGATGGTTGTGGTCTTTTTGTAGTTGTTAACAATAAGGTGTATTCACCCTGTGCTCAGAAGTGTGCTAACTAATATCAAGAAAGTAAGTCAAGACTATCTAAACTGGAAGTAAGATACAATAAGGGGCAAGGGGGAGTAAGTAGATGTTGCAAGGAAGAGGACAGTACAGGGAAAGAATTGTATATGTGTTCAGTCCTGTGGTACAAGAATGAACAAGTGGTTATAGACATCTCCATGTGATTTTTAACTTGTTCATATGTTGGGACATTTTCAGGGGAGAGGAGTGAGCAGCGTGACAGCGAGGGTAAGAGGGAGCGATGGGAAACAGAACGAGTAGCAAGAATTGGGGTTAGGAAGGGACAGGAGAGAGGAAATCTGCTGAACTGAGGTTGGGCAGAGGATGAGGAAGAGGGAATGGAGGTGGGATGGAATGGACCAGTGGCATTTTAAGACAGTGAGAAAAAAGCTGGCAGCCATGAGCAAAGGGCACACATGCCCTGGATAGCAAGGCTGGGCAGGTTTTAGATGTGTGCAGTGGGGCTGGCAGTACAGCATTCGTGCCCCTCCAACCAGGGAAGGGCTGTGATGGAGCCGTGTGGCTGCTGGCACCCGTGGCACAGCTGGCCTGGTCTCTGCTCTTTTCTGATTTTCTCTGAGGGCCATGCTGTGGCCCCAGCACAAGTTTCTGTGCTTTCTTTTTATTTTCTGTTATTATAGCTGGGGAAGAGAAATAATATCCAACAGTGTTATGTATAGTTCCTGCTACAGTGCAGAAGTGAATGTGATGTTCTCATGACCGGCAACGCAGCAGCTGGTTGCAAGAGGAATAGAAATATGTCAAGTATTTTGAGTGCTAAATTCATACAAGATTTTCTTGACCACCTCTTGGATTATTTTTTGGTGGAATTGGGATATGCAACACAATCGACTTGAAATACAGTCTGATGGGTGGAGGGGGAAGAGAGAGATACACTGGAGAGAGACTGTGTGCAGTGTGTTCCTCGTGTCAGGCAGCACCTACTGAGAGACGGGATGGGTGCCAGCAGGCAGATTTCTCTGAGCTTTGATGACACACTCCTACAAAAGTTATGGGGCTTTTTGGTTTTGTCTCTGCATTTTCATCTTCAACTGGTATTATGGTGAGTCGCTGGTGAGCAGTGGAAGGGTGGTGGACTCTTCATTAGAGCTTTCCCTTGTCTTCTCCCACAGATAGTGGAGCACTCTGATGTAAACCAGCCCCAATTTTGTCTCCTTCAGTCACAGAAACTGTTGTTTATAGATGATGGGTTAATCCCATTTAAGAACTGGATTAGCAGTAGTCGTTTAACCACAGATGCCTGAACTTGGGTTGAGGCAGTTCTCAGATGGTCGTGGCTGGGATTAATGCTCTGCAGACATTCTGGGTCGAGACAGTTTCATGGAAGGCTGTGCACCACTGAGGTGTAAATCTAACAGAGCTCACCGTGACAGCAGTTGTATGCTTGGCATGTTAAATGACTGTGGGTTTTGTTAGAAACAAAGGCAAGTAAAAGATCTTTTGTGTCATGTGAACCTAACTTCCTCAGAGAAGTGAATTATAAAGATAACACGGAAGATAACTGATGCTTTGCTGTCTTTGGTTAGCTTAATAAGGATCAGGGTGTGCTGGTAATTAGTGCAGAATTTCCCCAGACACCAGCAAGATCTGCTCCTTTTAAGGATAACAGACTTGGGGTTGCTGGTTAGATTGGCACTTGTGCTTTTATCCCTCTTCTCTGAACTTCCGCAAAGGTATTTATCTCTTTAGGGACATATTGATAAAGGCACGTTAGCAAATCCTGGAGCCTGAGCTTTGCAAGAGCAAATGTGGGAAGGAAGATTAGGATCAGCCTGAGCTTTGAGGGGGTGGGACAGGGGCTCACCGAATAAAGATGGTATCTGTTTCGGGCAGTGGTGTGGCTTGGAGGTCCACTCCCCTCTTCCCCCCCCTAACACCAACACGAAGTAGATACTTCTCAGAAATAAAAGATGGAAAGCAGCAGTGCTATGGGGACCCATTTAGTAAAAGCAGTTTGTATTCTTTCTAGTTAAAATGCAGAAGTTGCACCCAGAATTGCTTTTAAAGTAATGCATAAAATATGTTGTTAATGACTGTGTAGCAATCTGCACAGGCATGATGCACATTTTCCATTGGGAACTTTTGAATTCTGTTTATGCTCAGCTCCTAAAGGTGCATTTTTACAATGTAGGGCAAGGCTGTGTTTAAAACCTCAAAATAACTCTTTTTTTTTTTTTTTTTTTTTTTTTTTTTTTTTTTTTTTATAAGAAAACTACGTAAACTATGGGCATGCTCCCTTGGTTTTGGTTTCAGAAATTTAAACCAAGACTACTTCTTTGTTAGATAAAAGCAAAACTTAACTGAAAAGGACAATGAAAACAGTGATTGAAAACATACTCTTTCATTTAAGTGAGAAAGTTAGCACTCAAGGGAACTGAATTGTGTTTGCTTCAGGGCTTTTGGTGGGCAATGCTCTGCTTGGCAAGCACTTTGCTTCAAGTGCATTTTTGTATTATTTTTCTGATTGAGAGCTTCAGAAAATAAGCTGTAGAGAAGGGAGAAAGCAAAACTCAGAGATGCTGAAGAAAAGTATCAAGTCCCATCTTAAGACTTACCCACTCCTGAAACATCTCAAAATGTGTCAACCGTATTTAGAAATAGCTACATTAAAAAAGAAGAAAGCTTGATCCTTTTAACAGTGTAAATCATGGAAAGCAGTGAAAACTAATATTTATGAGGGGGATTGTGAAAGCTTGTGTGACAGTTGGAAATTACATCACTGTTGATGTTTCAAATTCTCCTGTAAAGTAATGCAATACTGTGTTTATGAATGAATGAACAAATGATTGTGCTGTGCTAAGCATACTTTATATGGATAAACTGGATTGAGCTATTTTATATCTCTTGTCTTCACTCATGTTACTTTGCAATATACAGTCCTGTATGTTTCAATGTAAATATAGAAAACTCAATTCAGTGTATGTATTTTTTTATTCCAGATACAGACCCACGTGTATTAGAGAAACAAGAACTTCAGCAGCCAACCTATGTTGCTTTAAGTTACATTAACAGGTAAGTGTGGTTATTTTTCAGGTGTAACTGATTGTGGTTTTCACAAAATGTGTATATATGCGTATGCCAAAATGTATGCCTATGTATGCATTCTGTTTCATTTCATGTTATATGCCACTGTGATAACACCTGTTTTGGAAGGGCAATTGAATTAAAATTTAACTAAATTGTTTATCACTTTAATGTAGGGCAGAAGTAGCCCTTCAACTGCATTGCTCAAATAGTTAGGGGAATGAGGTTTTAGCCTTTTATGTTTAAGCTAAATCTTGTGCAAAACAAGATAATTTGCCTTTGCTTAATTTTCTTTCTTGTACTCCACACAAGTGAGTGGAGAAAGAATTTTTTTTCAATGAGAAGTGAAATTTAACTACTAATATTCCAACATATAAGAGAATTTTTTACAGTACTTTGCAGGTTTTTCAACCACAGTGTATATCTTTAAAAATCTTGCTTACCGGCGCTATATAACCTAAAACTTGAAAAATTTAAGAAATTAAACCAATTTTTAAAGCATTTATCTAAATAATAGAGCCTTGGCTTTTCAGTTTTGGACTGATGGCAGAACTGAAACCTACAGAGTACTCCAGCATGGAGGAATGGAAGGGTTGCTCATGTCTTAGGTTGTATTATGGTAAAGAGCAGCCTGAGAGCTGCTCCATATTCTCCCTCTCACCTAAGCATGTCGCAGAATTCAATGGAGGTAGCTCAAATTACTTTTTCTCTGGGAGGATAGTGACCCATGAAGGGGAAAGATGGCAGTTTTGTGCAGTTGCAGTGCCCAGTTTTCAGTACATTTGCCAAACTGTCTCCCAGTCCTAAATGAACACTGTACAGGAAGTGTGATTCCTCATTTAAAACCCTTTTTCCTGTTCTAGATAAGTCAACATGCTGCTATTCTAGGATTATTTTGCTGCCTTTTACATCATACTGTTTGGTTGATCAGGTGTGCTGTGGTTCAAAGTTCCAGTTAGTTGCATTTTGGAAATGCATTTCTTGGAAAAAACTCTGTATGGGATTATTGGCTTTTATACATGCAACACCAGTTTCCTTTTGTATCTGTGCTGTCTAGAGGATGAGATACAAATTCACAAGCCTGGAAAATTAACCCAAAATTTAATTCAAGATTGATGTGAGTTAATTACAACTCTTACAATGCAAATTTTTTCTTTCTAATTCTACTTCATGTTAAAAATGAAAAAAAAAAAAAACCAACCCCAAAACCAAACCACATTCAAAACCAAACTCAAACTTTTTCAAACACAGAGTCCACCGTTTGGCTTTGTATAATACTTGCTGTAGAGAAAGGGTGTCAGTGGCGGGGGGGGAAAAGACTTTGAGGTATGAAAGTCAGAAGTGGTGTTCACTTGGTAAAATGACTAAATTTTCTCCACTGTATGAGACTATGATGATTAAGAATAGCTGGTTTTGACATGATTTCCTACTTGGCAAGTAACTCCTGTTCTTCCTGGAGGCAGTCCTACCCTTTAAAGCATATTTTGAAATTAACCATGACCCTTTTTAACACTTATTTCTGTTGATCTCATTTAATGTATAAAACTGTTGGGTTTTTTTTTCCCCTCCCAACATGTAGGATTGGTAGGTTGTTGGTAGGTTGTGTATGTTGGTATGTTTCCCTCTTTCCATTATATACTTGGGCGTTTTCTCTTGTTGCTTCTGTGATTATTTTACTTAATGTGAGGGAGAGGGAAAATTTTTTGGAAAATAGCTGGTTTAAGACCACAGAAAGTGCCCACGGGACTTGATTGTACGATTCAGAATCAGTCTACTTTTAAAGTAGTTTGAAAGTGATACTTAATCTAGATTTCATGATTTTGGGACCCTTTTTAACTGAGTTGTGTGTGACTGAGACAGTTTTAGTTACTCACTACGTATTTGTCCAAACATTTTTACCCTTTCAATTCTGAGAATTCTGCAGAACTGAATTGAGTTGTTCTTATAGTAAAACCCAATCTGAATTGACTCTTATTTAAACCAGCTGCTATTTAATTGCTCTTTTAATTGTATTTTAATTTTTTTCTGAACTGCTGATGTCTTTCATTGAGCCACCTGCTCTATGCAGCTCAAGCTCTTGAGGGAGCAGCAATATCCATTACACTATGAGACATGCCTTTCTATTTCCCACTACATATGCCAGAGCCAAGTTCTGCTTTGTTGTCCCAGGCTATGAACTCAGATTTTGTAGCCTAATACATGTCATAAACATGTTGCATACTGCTAGATATCAAACACCAGATACGGCTGCACTTTTTTTAAACCCATGCTTTTATGGCTTCCAAGTGGAACTGAACTTAGCTTGTTTCCTGCTGTGAGTTCCAGACCTTAAAACAATCTTCCTCTGCAGGTTTCTATATTCAATATGTTCTGTGTGGGACATACGCTGTTGTGAAGCCTGGGAAAACAGGGACTTCTGATTCTCAGGGACTATCAGAATTGTATGATAAGATGTATACTTAAAATATGTTGTGGTAGAAAGATTAAGTGGGGTGCTTTATGCTCTGCTGATTGCCCTGTTGTATGGTGGCCATTATAAGCTAAAACAAAACAGAACATAAATCTGGGTTGACTGGTTTGATAGCTGGGAGGATAAAGTATCAGTAAAGTAGATAGAGACAGAAGGGTATAGGAGTCTTTGTTTCCAGCCTGAAACATACTCTTGTTTCCATTTCCCTTCTACCCCTGGTTATTTTCTCAGGCATGTTAATACGGCAATATTGTATGTACCCTTAAGTTCTGAAACAACCTTCAGATTGTGGATGTCTGAATCTATAAGGCTCCGTCTCTTTCTCTGCTGGAGATTTACTGCCATTACAGCCTTCAGTAACTGCACACAGATGCAGTTTCCATAGTGTGTGATCCTCATGTAGACAGATAACATTCCTTTTAAAACCAGTGGACAAAATATAAATTATAGGTCATAATGGTTTATTATCGCTACATCAAACACTTGCACCAGGCACTGACTGAATTGTCACAAATCCTTTTCTCAGACAAAGTTTAGTGTAGCCTTAATGCAGTCCCAGTATAGATGATTGTCGCCTACTTATTTTCCATTTGCTTTCTTAGAAGTCAAAACTGGAGTTGGTAAGGCACGCTACTGCCAAAGCAGATGCAGTTCATCTGCTTCCATCCTATAAATCCAGGAGTGGTTTGCCTGCAAGGAGTTCAATGGTGCTACTACATGAATGGGATACTGGCTGTGATCTGGCAGGAGCAGTTGCAAATGAGCACTTGGGCCAACATCCTCCAGTACTTCATAGATGTATTTCCTTTGTATATGGGTCAAGACACCTTTATATTTTGTACTGCACTGAAATGCAGTGATTAGCGGCAATAATTAATATTGATTCTACTATTACTTAGATACAGTATTTATAGCTTTGAGTTAATTAACATCACTATGAATTTTGCTTGGTGTTTATTGAAACCTACATAGTGCTGTTTGTGCCTCTTGAGTCTGTTGGTCTGGGACCGTGGTGGCGATGGTTCTTGAGTTTGCGGTATTACTGTGGAACGTGAAGCCCTGGTGTTGCAGCATATGCTATCAAGGCTTTTAGGCTCGTGCAGTCTAATGGAGACAGACTCCTCAGCATTTACATATTCTAAAATTTGTTTAATATGGATACTGCTGGTTACCTGTTAGTGATGAAAGCAGCTGTTGTGGGAATGGGTTTTTGTTTTATTAGAAAACAAAACAGACATCCCAGCCTTATTGGCACAAGCAAGAAGACAACAGAGGCATACAAATACTTTCTCTGGCTAAAAAGGTAATACTAAAAAAAAAAAAAAAAAAAGAAGTTAAAAATAAAAAGATTTGATTCCAAAATGAAAAATCCTTCACAATTAAGTTTTAAAGAACATATTTCAACTTTGAGGTGGTAAGTACCAGAAATAGGAAGAAAGCATAATTTATTGGAGTAAATTCCCTTCACCTTGGAAATGGAAGGTGGGAAGTGCCATAGTAACGTGTATTGTTAGAAGCACATGCCATAAACAGAACAACTAAATGTGTGTTTAATACGGTTTCTGTAAAAAACATTTTCCTTAGATATAGAAATTGCTTTGATTAGAAGTTTTCATCATGGTGTGGAAGAAAGGAAACTAGAATACACTACAATTTGAAACTAAGATGCCTTAATTATATAGTGTTTCTACTGTAAATCACTTAATAGCTATATTAGGGAAATGTTAGAAGCAAAGACCGTGGTAATCTTAAAATCTTTAAAAAGCTACCAGAATACTTTTAATTACAGTAATCCTAGGCTCTTTTTTAATAGTGTTTTTCTATTGATAATTCAGATCATACAAGAAAGGTTATATAATAAAAAAGGTTTTAAGCATTGATCCTGCAAGCAGTTACAGCACACTGGGGTGAACATTTTCAGTGTTGTCTGTAAGCAGTCTGTTGAATGAGGCTGTTGAATGTCTATAAAGTTTATTCTTGTGCTCAAATGAAGCCTGTGATCAAAACTGGATGGCATTCTTGGGTGAATAGTCCAAAACTGTCCTTGCATATCTCTGAGCCAGTCCTAACATTTTTACTCCTCCCTCCAGATTACTTTTAACTAGCAAGATTTTGCCTCCTTGTTACCATTATGAATTCCTGTAGGCTCCAGGCTTCTCCCCCCATTTCCCTTTCCTCTCAGTGGTCATTGACTTCTCAAGAACAAATTTCTCTACTCTGCTTCCTTTTTTAATACCACTAGAACTAAAATCAATCATTTCTATGAGAATATGCATTTGTGAAAGGAATTATTTGCACATAAAGTTCTAACCACTGCAAGCTGTCCCTGTGTCTTGTCCAGCTCACTAATTCTGGTTTTACTGCTATTACCCATTTTTTCCAGGAGTAAAATTAACACCATAGGATTTAATGATCATTTGAAAGTTATTTTTAAAAGTGATAAGTCTTTAGGTAGTGATATATTTAGTATGCACTATGTTACTAATGCAATAAAAAGAAGAATGTTTAGGATTTGGAG